ATCACTAACTATTTGCACCCAATTTTCACTCTTGTGATTACCTAGAAAATTTTCGACAAAACTGCTTTGAAACTAAGCCAATGCGGCTTTCTCCTTTTTATTCATCTTGGTGATAAATTGCTCATCTTTTAACAATTTGCGAATTTGTGGTCCGTCAAAAACCCCTTCTTTTAGTTTCACATCAGATTTTTCTGGAAACTTTTGTTCCAGGTATTTAAAACAGTTTCCTTCTTTATCTAAGGCTTTGACAAATTGTTTCATTCCTCCTAGTTTCGTGTGTAAAGATGGAATTATCACCTTTGAAGGGTCGATTAGGGGATTTTCTATTATATTTTTTGAACCTGGTTCGAAAGAATTTCTTTTTGGCCATTGTTTTTTAATGTAGTGATTTGCTCGATCTCTACTGTCCCACAAACACAGGAAACAATCTTTTTGATTTAATGGTTTTTCTCACAAAGTTGGCTTTATAAACTTTAGTTTATCCTCTTTTTTATGATTCCAACGAGTTAACATTGTGTAACAAAAACTGCAAATTTTGTGTGGAACAAAATTTTTATCCTGATTGGTTATCTCAAGATCAAAATAAGTTTTGGAGTTTTATTATTGTTTTGATTTTGAGAAGCCATGATTTATGTGAAAACCTGCACGTTAGGGATCCTGGCCCGATCGCAGGTGAGTCCGCCGTCCTAGGGGTGATAACCCTCATACCTCCCCAGGCCTAAGTATGAGAGCTTTCCGACTTTGACGAGGACAAAGTCAACTCGTCGTCGGACACACTACGGCATCATCCTCACACCCTAACGTCCCCCTGCAGGGCAACGCGCTTACGCTGGCTTCGTTACTTCGATAAACAGGAAGCGAATCATTCTACACATCCCCTTTCGAGGCAGTTGTCATCGCCTACTACATTTATCGAAGCAGCAGGATTAGTATTGTGCTGAAACACAATAAAAGTGCAAAGCGTACAAGGTAAACAATGTATTTTTAAGGAATAAGGTAGTGAAGGATAGAGGATATTAAAGTTCCTTTTTATCTCGTTGCTTAAAAATTTATTATTTAACTTTTACATCTTATTGTCACATTATTACCTCAATGAAAAAAGTTTTGTGCATTTGCCGAATTGATATCTATGATGCAATGAGACCAAACTGTCAGTTCTTGAGAGTAGTTCATTACAAAACAAAAAATTACAGTTCCCGCTACACAACACTCTACCAAAAAATCTTTCGGAGCAGCCACACGAAAAAAATTTCTGTTTATCTCTATATGTGCACCAATGGTCCTTAATTACAGTACAAATCTTACACTTTGAAAAGGGATCATATACGGCCCTTTTTAGAGACAGCAAACGCACTTCCATCGGACAACCTCTGCATCAACTGCACTGGAAGTGAGACAAGCGGTGCACGGACATTTTTTCGTAATCAGTGACCCAAAAAACCCCTAGATACCAACTTCGAAGTAAATCCATCAATAGTTAAAAAATTCGTCCCCCATATTGGAGCCAACATTTTAAATTTTGAAAATCTAACTTCAAATTCGTAATCAGCGACCCAAAAAACCCCTAGATACCAAGTTTGAAGCAAATCTATCAATTTTTTAAAAATTCGTCCGCCATATTGGATCCGCCATTTTAAATTTTGAAAATCTAACTTCAAATTCGTCATCAGCGACCCAAAAAACCCCTAGATACCAAGTTTGAAGCAAATCTATCAATTTTTAAAAAATCCGTTCGCCATATTGGACCCGCCATTTTGAATTTTGAAAATCTAACTTCAAATTCGTCATCAGCGACCCAAAAAACCCCTAGTTACCAAGTTTGAAGTAAATCCATTAACTTTTAAAAAATTCGTCCGCCATATTGGAGCCGCCATTTTGAATTTTGAAAATCTAACTTCAAATTTGTCATCAGCGACCCAGAAAACCCCTAGTTACCAAGTTTGAAGTAAATCCATTAATTTAAGAAAAAATAGCCTACCTCTCAAAATCCGACAGATTTTTTGAGGTTAGAAAAAAATCCTGACGTGATGGAGCAAAACGGACTTCGGATTCGTGTTCAGCGCGTCAAAATACATAGGAAATGACTAGTCTGGTCTGCCGCGCACGACACTTTTTTTTGTGGGGCTGTGTTACAGAAAAGCACACGTATTAAAAGACAAGCAGAAGGCATTATCCCTGATATCCCATTAAAACCAAACGACAAAATAGCAATGGATATTTTTGGCCCTTTACCTAAAACGAAACAAGATAACGAATTTATACTAAGTATCCAAGTTCAATTAACAAGATATATCATGCTTATTCCATTAAAATCAGCAACAAGTGAAAACATATTAGAAAGTTTATTAGAACAATACATTTATATATTTGGTTCGCCCAAAAGCATTCTTACCGATCAAGGAAGAAATTTTGTTTCTGAATTAGTTGAAAATTTCGAAAACCTTTTTTGAATTAAACCAATAAGGACAACTACATATCATCCACAAAGTAATGGGCCAATAGAAAGAATGCATTCTACATTAAAAAATCTTCTAAAAATTGCAATGGAAGACAATCAAAATGAATGGGACGAGAATTTAAAAATTATTAGTCTTGCACATAATTCAACTACAAACGAAACAACAGGATTTACACCTTTTGAACTCACATTTGGAAGAGAAATAAACCTCCCTTCTACTCTTGAAAATTCGCCAATTCTTAAGTACCCATAATTAATTTAACAATGGAAAGAAAAGCATGAAAAGTGGTAGATTTCATGCTAACCAGTTAATGCTATATTACGATTTTTCAGATGATGAAAATGATGATCAGCAAAATTCTACTGATAATTCTGAAGATTAGTTTATCATATGGAAATATCAATATAACAGAATTAAAAGGAAATTTGTATATAGAAGACATAGGACCTGTACACCAGTATCACGAAGAATGGCGATTAATAATTGGAATAAACGTCACTAATGTAAACAGTAGATTTGATATGATTGAGAAAACAATTCAAATGAGTGAAGCAGCATGTTCTATTTATTGTAGCTCTGAGAACGAAATTCGTTTAATAAGAGGACGATTCGACAGGTTAAAAAGTAAACATGATTTATTAAATAAATTGTTAGGAGGACATCGAATAAAAAGAGGTTTAGCCAATTTTGTGGGAGATATAGCAAAGCCTTTATTGACAATAAACGAAACTATAAAAGAAAATTTTATTAATTCAAAATTAGTAATAGTAACACTTCTGATTGACGAATTAAACAAAGACATTAATATTGCAATAGACGCTATTAACGACGGAAAACATGGAATAGTTCATCCCCAACTACTAACACCAAAAATATTAAAAAATACTATAGAAGAATTCGAACAAGTCCATAGAACGAGATACCATTTTGAAAATACTGAAGAAACTTATCAATATATTATTGACTTAAGTGAAGTGGAAGTAGCAATAATAAAAGGGTTATTGACTTACATTTTAAGAATACCAGTAATCGAGAAAGAAGAAGGAAATATTATTCGACTAATACCAATCCCAGAGAAAATTAAGGACACTTATTTAGGGTATACACCTGAACATGAATATTTCATAAAATATAAAGGATCATACACTCCATTAAAAAATGACTATCAAACCAATTGTAAAAACATAGTAGAATATAAAATCTGCAAAAGAAAACAACCAAATTATTTACTCGGTAAATCTAACGGATGTGATGCTACTTTATTAAGAAGAGACGCTTTAGCAAATTGTATACTATTATTTAAAATAATTGAATTCTTAAGAAAGAAAATAATTGATTTCCAACGAAGAATTTAATTCAAATTCTTTTAAATAATTGAATTCCCATAAAAAATGTATTATTTGTGAAAATAATTAAATTCTTAAAAAGAAATGAATTGTTCAGGAAAATTTTATTAAAATTGCAATTTTATAATCTAAATCTTGTAAAGAATTTCGTCAACACTTTTTCGAATAATAGAATTATTAAAAGAATTTTATTTAAATTTTTCGAAATAATTGAATTTTTCAGGCTATTGTTTTCAATTCTCTTTATATATTTGAATTCTTTCGAGAAACTTCATTAAGAAATTTAAAATAATTAGTTTATAATCTTTACCGTCCGAGATCCTTTATAAATTAAGGAAAATTAAACGAAAACATTCGGACAATGAATAAAATATTTATTTACTCCAACGTTTCGAAATCTAAATGATTTCCTCTTCAGGGAGTCAAAAAATAATAATTCTTTTTATATATTTTAATTATTATTTTTTGACTCCCTGAAGAGGAAATCATTTAGATTTCGAAACGTTGGAGTAAATAAATATTTTATTCATTGTCCGAATGTTTTTGTTTAATTTTCCCTAATTTTTAAAATAATTGAATTGATGAGAAGAAATTTATTTAAAAAATTGGTAACTAATTGAATTCCTGTTCATTTTTTATTAAAAGTTTGTTTAAATAATAGAATTCTTTGGAAAATTTTATTAAAACAGTAGATATAAAAAATAATTGAAATGAGGAAAATTTTTGAAAATAATTGAAATTTTTCCAAGAATTTTATTAAATTTTTTGAAAATAATTTAATTTTGGAAAAGAATTTTATTATTTATAAAGATAATTTAAATTTTGATGAGAATTTTCAAAAATTTTTGAACATAATTCAATTTATGCGAATTTCAAGGTTTGTAAGGCATACAAAAAAGACACCAATATTCAGAATTTTCCTATAAATTCTAAAAATTAAATTTTTTCCAGTACTTATAATAAAAAACCCTGACTTTTCCCTTACTTGTGGCAACGCTGTTACACATATAAATGTCCTGGAAAAATAAGAAACCTGTCCTGAAAATGTCCTGAAATTTTAAGTCATATTTTAAGTAGACACCCTGTTATAAGTCAATTTAATAATTACAGTTAGAAAATTAATAAAATACGTAAAAATATTTCTAATAATTTAAAAAAATTAATTTATTTTTCTGCAGGTAAATATTGGATTAAATATAATGGTACATGTCGATGTTTGGGAAGCCATAATTCGAAAAAACGATTCAGTCTTTGTCAGATCATTACTTGGTCTCATTTGGGGCAAAGAAAATTTGCGTAATAAATGCCTTTGTGAGAAGCGAGCTAACAAAGACAATACTGGCGAACGAAAAACAAAACTAACACCAGAGAAACGACAGCTAGTCAAAGGTATTGTAATTCTCTCTTTTTATATAAAAAGCTAAATTTTTTTTCAATAAATAGTAATAATAACTTTCACATTTTAGATTTACTGTACGAAAAAATTACATCTAGCGGAGTTGATGCCCACTCCAGAAATGTTAGGATGGCTAAATTGTCAAGAACAATGACTCTCACAATCTCAGACGAACGGATCAAAGCAAAGAGTTAAAATGGACTGAAATTTAAACTTCTCTTTAATAATTTCGATAATTAAAAAATAACAAAAATAGTACTACAATATGTATATCTATCTGTTTTAAAATTATATTATGATTATATATTACTTGGTAACTAACTATAAATGTTATTATTTTATATTATAAAGATATAATTAGAATAAACTGCAAGATAATATATATTTTTGTCTTTTAATATATCTATTATTATTTTCATTAGATAACATTTATAAAAAAATTATTATATTCTTTTTCATCTATTTATAACAAAAATATATAAAAAATCATAAATGACAATACAAATTGCAAAATAACATCATAAATGATATCAAATACGACATCGTTTATAGTCCCAAAACACGATATAATTTCCGATGTCATTTACGATGTAATTTCTGATGTTGTTTATAATATAACTTCAAATGTCAATTCTGATATTATTTCGAATATTAGATCCGATGCTAAAAAAAACACAGTCGAGATTTAGGACGAAAAAAAACACCGAAAGAAAATATAACCAAAAATACAGTTTTCATTTTAAGTTTTCTGCACGAACAAAAGTTTTTTCGAATTTTCTCCTTCGTGTTGTAATATTTATTTAAAATCAAATGCATCATGCAAGAAGATAATTTTATTATACTGATGTAAATTTTGAAAAAATGAACCATAAATGAGAGGTGTGCTTATAATTTGAAAAATTTCATTTTTATAAGTTAATATTGGACCAATTCCGTGGATTTGACAATATATTTCAGGGTTAAAAATGGTGCGGAAGAAAGAAATATGAACTACTTTGGTAATTAAAGTCTAGATCTGTCAAAGTTGGGGGTGGTGCCTCCCCTTAAAATTAAGTAAAAAATTCTTTTGGTTTTTTTCTGAATAAGACTAAAAGTTAAAATAAACATTTTTATGTTTTCTTCTGGGAAGGAAGGAAATAAATAGTATTAGTTTTTTTACACTTAGTATATTTTTACAAAAAAGTTTATAAACAATCTCTGCTATTTTATAGTATAGGCGTGTATAAGTTAACAAATAGCGAGCACGAAGCTATAATAAGAAAAGCGGCCCCCCAGTGAAAGAAATTCGGTGGCATGGTGGGGGGCCGCTTCCCCTAGTTCTTTGCTCGCTAGTTGATTACTTGTGCAGGCCTCGTATAAGTTTACACTAGTTACATTGGGCGAGGTACCAAGTCCTAATTATTTTACTTCGAAAAATATTTTCTTGCAATTTTTCCGTTTACTTTTATAACAAATTTTTGTTATAGGTAATAAAATTATAATACGTAATATTACGTAATATTTCCTAATATTAATTAAAACCTAATATTATTTTTTTTATGTAGGTATTAAATATGTAAAATACATTTAATTATATAATTTAATTCCGTACAATTAATTATATAATTTAATTAACAACAAAATTAACACTTACAGTAAATAAACAGAAATAAAAATATAAATAAACAAAAGCAAAAATATAAAGAAACAAAAATATAAATAAGCAAAAACATAAATAAAAACAAAAGTAAAAATAACAAAACAATAACATAGTGTTATGTAAAAACAGAAACTACATCAAAAAGAAGAAACAAATGAGTTACATAAAGCAAGGCAAGTAAAATTAAAAACTTTAAGTCTGACTAAAACTTACTTTGACAGAAATTATTTTTTTAGACAATTTTTTTCAGTGTAGGGGAGGATGGGGCAAGGATAGATATAGTTAAGACCTTTTCGGATCTAGCGGCCAAACTTGAATTTGTATCTGCAAATGAAAAGTATTTTTGGAAAGCCTGGTTATTTGGCTATAATTTTGCTATACATTATTTTACTGTAGACTCAAATCCCTACAAGATACCTTGCCCCAGCACCGCACCGGGGCAAGGATAGTTAAAAGAATTCGAATGCTAAAAATGTTATATTACATATTGTAGGGGAGAGTCTCCAGTTGTGAGACGGGTTTTATTTTTTACCCTTAAATTGTAAACGGGTAAACGAAATTGTAAATAAAATACACCGTTCAAAAGGTAACAGAAATACGCAACTTTTATTAAAAGAAAGTATAGTATTTCGATGAACTCAAAAAATTTTACGATACATTTTCCGAGCACATCGCTTTTTTCAACAAAAAAAAATGTCTCCAGTTGTGAGACACTGATTAAAAATTGCTAAAATTTAATAAGTTTGACATAAAACGTTATGTTTAGTAGAAATAATTAAATATATTAATAATATATATTATTATATACTAAATAATAATATTTATTCGCCAAAATATGACTATCAAATAAATACAATTTAATAGCTTCAACAAGAGCATTAAAATTGATTTCTTCTGAATCAATTGACTTTTTTCCACTTGACATGCACAAAAATACTAGAAAAAAAATCAAAACAACATTTAAATAGTATGCCTGCAAAGTAGTATTTTTATGCTGCCCAGATGGGTGTTGACACCGTCTCACAACTGGTGATATGCTGTGTCTCACACCCAGAAATTGGCGCTATTTTGAAAAAGGAAAATTAAATTATTTTCAACCGTAGATTGGAACAATGCAATATTGCATCACAAAATATAAGGAAAACACTAAAAGAAAATGCATTAAATTTACCTTTTCCAATTAATTAACTTGTAAAAAAAGTACTTTGCATTTATTGAAAAAACGCTTTTTAGTCGATTATCACACACAGTGTTGGTATTTAACAAAAACAGTTTACATATCCACTTCGGCGTACACGAAAAAGTTGGCTCATATAAAAAAAAATGTTTTTATATAAACCAATCGGCTTTTTAATATTGCATGTTAAAAAAAATTGACTGTCTCACAACTGGAGACTCTCCCCTATTAAAATTCATCTGAACTAGAATCAGAGGTTTAACCAATTTTCTTCAGACGACCAACAATTTCTTGGTCAATAAGCTTCGTTTGCCTTAAATAATTACGCACCATCATGTATATCATCCTAAAAAGAACAATTAAACACTTTTTTAAAATTTGCAATGTCATTAACAGGATTTTACCGTGGCGTTTTATCTCTAACTATCCTTCCCCCATGAGTCCATATTTCAGTTTTTTCTAAATTTTATGGAACAACGTGAATTAATTTGAAAATAAATACGAAACTCTAATATAGAAAACAATATGATAAACATTACGTTGACATTTTAGCAAAACATACTTTTTTCAAAAATAAACTCCTAACTTCGCAAATGGTGATAGATTGCCTTCAAATTTTTACTATCATCTTTTGGTGTTAAGACACGAAAATACCATGAATTACGCGATTTTTGAGCAAGCCGTCTAAGCATAACAGCAACTAACTATCCTTGCCCCATCCTCCCCTACTGAGAATGTGTAAGACTTTAAAAGAAATAATAGCCAATAAATTTTAGTAAATTGAATTCCAAAAAAATATTTTTCTCTTATATAAAACATGAATAATAATTAGTGCCAATGATTAGATGATGAAAATTAAAATGTTATTTTTTGGCGTTTCTATAGACAATTTTATATAGATATTTCAGTTCGTCAGTCGGGAACTAAAATAGTAGGTATATTTCGTAACGAGTGCGAGCAGTTGCCAATTTTTGATCGAGCACTTTTTTTGGAAAAAAAGCTTCGCTTTGCCTAAAGTTTGTTCCAAAAAAAGTGCTCGTTTAAAAATTGGCAACTGCTGGTACTAGTTACGAACGATATTTTTCATAACAAGGTTCAAAAAAGTGCCCTTTTCAGCACCGCGTTATGAAAATGATATTTTAATTTTAATGATCCGTTTATATTTTTTATTGTAAAAAATAATTTTTTACTATTTCTCGTTATTCTCTAACACAAGATAAATTAAAAAATAATTTTTTTTAGTTTCTGTAAAAAGAACTGTATTTTTCCGATTAAAACTGCTTGGCACCTTCTTAAAAAGAATACAACAATAATTTCCTAACAATTTGATAAATGGCAGTGTACATATACATACACATGTATACGTAGTTTATATTTTAAGTTTTATATACTAATATTTCTTAATTTTTGTCTAAAGTTTATAGATTCCATAGGAAGTCGATGTTTGATGTATATAAATTCAAATAGAATTTCTTTTACTATAAAAAAGTTTATTCAAGGAATTCGTATCATCAATTGTTACCGTAAGGCACTTGAAAGTATATAAATGTCATTGTTTTTTCTAAAAAAAAACATTAATGGTCTTTGAATTCTTTTTACTGATAACAAAATTTTGTCAAATATTTCAAATAATAAATTAACGTTTTCATTTTTTTTTAAATAAAAAATTTCGAATATTTTAATTATTATTATGAATGATTAATTTATTTTGTATAAACAATAAAGTCGTGAATTATCACGACTCAAAAAAAATTCAATTTTCTTATTATTGACTATCCTATGTTTTTCAGTTGAAAATGATGCAAAGAAAAAAATATAACCTTTGATAATTAAAATTTAAGGGACTACATTTTTACCTATATCAAGAAAATGATTTAAATCTTCCATAAAATTATTTTTACAGTATTTTTTGAGATTCTGACCCTTTTTGAATTTTTATTCTTCTTAAAAATTGATAGATTTTAAAATCCATCCGTAATTATGTAGAATAGTACATTGTGCACCAAGTACAGAAAGAAGCTGTTTTCCGATGAGTTTGAAGTTTGCTGCTCGAGTAAAACGAGAGCAGTAATTAAACTCATCGTAAAAGCTTCTTTCGCACGAGGTGCATACTGTGCTTTGTGTAACACACTGTAAAAAAAGGGAGTTAAATTTTAACTCCCCCGGGGGGTCTATAAAAGTCGCACCCATTGGGGAGTTAATGCCAGGGGAGTTAAATAAAGAGAGTTAAAATTTAACACCCAAATGCTAACTCCCCATGGAAAAAATAACTCGCGCGGGTGTTGAATGAAGGGAGTTAGAAATTAACTCTCTTTTGGAGTTGATTTTTAACTCGAAAAATTTAACTCCCAACTCCCGAGTCCGTTAACTCCCTAAATTTTTTACAGTGCACCTGTGTAAAAAAACACCATTTGAAAAAGTTATAGTATAGTATACTATAGTGTAGTATACTATGCTTATACTATGCTTTGCAGAAAAGTGTGCAGGAAAGTACACTTTAATTCCTGCAGACTTTTCAAAGTACAGAAATCAACAACTTTCTGCTGCATTTACATCAAAGTAAAGTAGCACTTTTCTTTAACATAAATGCAGCACAAAGTGGTCAATTTCTGCACATTTAAAAGTGTGCAGGAAAGTGTACTTTTCTGCACACTTTTCTGTAAACTGTATAATATACACTATAATCAACATAAAACTATATTTATTGATTAGAAAAGTATAAAAATTACTTTTTTTGTAAACAGGTGTTGCACAAAGTACTGTGTGCAACACGTACGAAAGAAGATTTTCCGGCCTCGTGCAAATTGCTACACAAAAGACGTAGTTTTGGAGATGAACTTTCGAATAGAATAAATAAATACAAGAATAAAATAGGCTTTGTGTAAAATAAACCATATTAAACTTGATGATTTCTATTTGGAGAATTGAGAAAAATGGATTTTTTAGCCTATTCCAATTAAAGAATAACTTTTATTTAAAAAAATAAATTTTTTTCGATTATGATATTATTAAAGAATATAGTGAAGATTAAATTGTGCAAAAGTTTGAAGCAGCTTTGAAAATAATTTTTAAAGTTTTTTGATACTTTTTAAATTTTTTTACTATACAATTAATATGACAAATATAAATAATTCAAAAACCATTTTACGAGCACTTTTAAAATTTAAATCAGTTCTTCAGTTGCTAAATTTCTAACCATTTTATAATTACTCATTAAAATTTAGACATATTGCACTTAATAAATCTTATGGACGGATTTCAACATCGATTAATGATAAACTTATATCTAAATTCTTATCGATATCTACAAGCTGAAAGAAATGATTTGTTTTACGATTATTTTTTAAGATTTTTAGTTAAAAAAATTGTCTAGTTACATTATCATTCAAAATGTTTGGATGATGAGAAATAAGATATCCGCCATTTTGAATTTTTAAAATCTGATATAAACTTCTGCTTTGTCGAGCTCAAAAACTCTCTAGTATCACATTTTGATGGAAAAGATTCAATTTAACAATTTTCCGCCATATTGGTTCGACATATTGAATTTTTAAATTGACAATAAAATTTCAATTTAGCATTTGTAAAACCCCCTACTACACTGGAGATTCCATAGAGAGTAGAGTCCGAGTCCGTAGCCCTCTCTATGGAGTTCCTCTTTGACGCCACCCCCGGCGACGAAAACTGTAAACACACAGGATTGTACATTGAATAATAAAAATGTGTCTCTTTGTACAATGCCTATTTTAATATACATTCTAATATATTTTATTTTTTTATGCATCTAGAAGATGTCGGATAATAATTAATAACTTTTATTTAAACAAAACCACAATAACGAAACTACCATACTTAAACGTAACGAATATTTATCAAAGGAACACTCAAAACAACCGCTCCTGTTTCGACTTTTTCAATTTCGTTAACGCCTCTCTCCTTCTGTCCCCCTACTGCGTCGCGACCAAAGTTTTACTCTCTATATAGAGTCACTCTCTATGGAGTCTCTAGTGTAATGAGTTCAAGCAAATCTACCTATTTTAAAAAAATTTGATTGCTATGTTGTATCCGAAATTTTTGGAGTTTCTAAAATATTTATTTCGGTTTTTTGTCCCTTTTTATTTTCCCACTTGGGTAATTGTTAAATTCAAGTTTAGATAACAGTATTCCTCTTAAAAGATACAAATACACTAGTTTTGCATAATCAGTAGGCACATAATTACAAATCATTCAAACTAAATTTGACTGTTTCAATTACAAAGTAACAAATTCTTGAACAAATCATTTCTGTCAGTTACGGATAAATCTTTTTAAAAATAATTTAATCTCCTGTCTAGGATGGCGGTGTACTGCTGTCAGAGCGAAGATGTGAAGGCGCAGCCTCACTATAGGCAATATCGAACACACTTTTTTTCTCCAACAATTGTTGATGTCTCAATTTTGTACCACCTTGTAGTGATACTGCAATTCCAGAATCTAAATCGTCGTCAATTTTTCTTGTCTCATGCACGTGATAATGTTCAGGCGAATCTTGTGGCGAGGGATATGGTGCCGGTGGTGGATGAAGATAAAATGGCTGCGGTATTTTCTCGTACTTGTACTCGGAATGTTGTATTAGAGGATGTTTTGGAATTGGTTGCAATATACTTTCTGTTGATGATGATGGTGGTGGTCGTTTTGGTGTAAAAATTTGCACAGTCACATCTTCATCATCCAATTTATCTTTTCGCAATTTTCTTCCCTGGCGAACGATAGCTTTTAGTTGCTCGGATTCAACATTTATTGACGGTTTCACTTTGTGTTTGGGTTTTGGTGTTCCCTCTGATTTTGGTGATTTTGCTTGTTCCTTTTGTTTCCCGTGTGGTGATGTTTTCATCCAACGGGGTTTCTGCTTTTCCTCCTCTGCTGATTTTCGTTCCTGTCGTTTCATTTTCATTTCCTCTCGTTTATGCTTGTACCATGACATGTATCTTGATTCTGCCTTTATGGATTCTGGTTCTGTTTTGGGATCCGTTTTTGATTTGGGTTGCTTTTGAGGATGTTGTTCTAGTTCAAAAATTTCTTGTTTGGGACCCGTTTCTGATTCAGGTTGCTTTGGAGGATGTTGTTCTGGTTCGGTATCTTCTGTTCTGAAAGCAGTTTTTGATTTAGGTTGCTTAGCAGGATGTTGTTCCAGTTCGGAACCTTCTGTTTTAGAATCAGTTTTTGATTTAGGTTGCTTAGCAGGATGTTGTTCCGGTTCAGAACCTTCTGTTTTAGAATCAGTTTTTGATTTAGGATGCTTTGGAGGATGTTGTTCAGGTTCGAAACCTTCTGTTTTAGAAGAAACTTTTGATTTAGGTTGCTTTTCAGGATGTTGTCCCCATTCGGGGAAGTGGGACTTGTTTGCTGTTTGCTCCTTGGCGGATTTTCTTCGGGGTGATTTTTGTTCTGTCTGAAGTAGAATTGGCGACTTATCTCGAAGTCTTATTTCCTTCTGAGGAGATATATTTCTTTGTTTTCTCTTTTCATGATCGGTTTTTCCCTTTTTTAACACTCTTCCATTTTCAGTTGCTGCGGGAGATTTTACATTAACTTTCTCCTTTTTTGCATCTTCGACTTTTGTCGTTTTCTCAATTGCAAATTTTTTGGTGTCGTTGGGTACTTTTACCATCGGTGATTTATCTCTTTTGATTTGTCTCCTTACATTCTCCTCTTGAAGATTTTGCTGTTTAGGGACCAAATTTTGATTTTTGCTCTCTTTTTTTGGCATGGGTTTTGGTGTCTTTAATTTTTGTTGTTCTTTAATGTTTTTCCTCTTTACTTCTGTAACAGTAGGAGGCAGTTTGGTTTGCTTCCTAATTTCCGATGTATCTTCAATGTCAAGTGCAGTTTGTCTCAATATTCGCGAAGTACTTTCTTTTTCTGTTTTATTTTTCGACAGATTTTCAGAAATCTTTTTCGAATCTTTAGTAGCTGAGACTTTTGGTGAATGTCGAGGAGTATGATACGGTTGAGTTGTCAACATTGTTTTACTGGACATATCACTGTCGGTTGATGAATCACTATCGGAGTCTGTCGTACCACTAAATTGTTTGTACAGTAATTCCAATCTTTGCAACCGTTGTTGTTCCTCTAGTAAAACTTTAGCCATTTTACGCTCATGTTCTTCGTGTCTGAAAGTTAAATTAATCACACTTGGGTCTTGTTTATCAATTTCCGCTAATTGTTTTTTCATACCCGATTTGTCCCTATCTGCCAATGCCTTTTCGACAATTACACCTAATTTTTTATACGGACTACTTTGATCCAAATTAACAAACTGTGACGTCTCTTTAGACACAGTTTTTATGCTCTTATCCTTTGTGTTATTAGTTTCTCCATTTGCATTTTCTTCTGTAACGCTTTTTCTGTCACTGGGAGAATCTTCAGATGTTTGGGAATCCATAGAACTTTTCAGAGATTGCTCATGATCTACAAACGAATCAGTAGATGTACGTAGTAACCTGAATGCTTTTTCTTTAGAAACAGTTCGCGAACTATCGGAACTACTTTCGGGATTCTGTCGAATCGAGTCAGATATTTCTCCTACTTTTAAATCGTCAGAAGTTTCACTCTCTTCGGTAAATTTTGTTCCATCTTTCTCTGTACTCGAAGTTTCACTAGATTTTTCTTCAAATTGTGCATCAGACGATATCGTTCTTGAATCACTGTCAGTCTTATTGATTTCTTGTATGTTTTCAAATTGCTTAATTGTTGTGTCAGTCTCATCACTTGTGTCCACTGTTGATTCCTGGGAATCGTCTATGAACCTCAAGTCATCCGATTCCAGCATTAGTGACTTTAGAATGTCACTGGATTCTTTTTGTTCTGCAACATCTGTAGAACTTTTGTCTTTCAGACCTTGTTTTTCGTCTTTTTGGAAAGTTTTTGGAGATTCGTCAGTAGGTACTTCTGCTTGTTTGGTAATTTTATCGCTTGTTGCTAATGGCATTAGTTTATTCATTGCTTCACTTACTACGTCTACTAAGTTGTCCATTGTGTCTGCTGTTGTATACATTAATTGCATCTTGTCATCCGTTAACTCTTTTACCGATTGATCCTTTTCTGTTGAAGTTAACAATTTGTTCTTTTTATCTGTTGCTTCTTCTATCACATGGTTCCTAACACCTTTTGCTTCTTCTGTTATTTGGTTTCTAATACCTGTTGCTTCTACTATTTGGTTCTTAATACCTTTCGATGCTTCTGTTATTTGGTTTTTAACATCTTTTGCTTCTTCTGTTATCTGCTTTGTAGTGCTTATTGTTTCTCCTACTATTTGGTTCTTAATACCTTTTGCATCTTCTGTTATTTGCTTTGTAGTGCTTATTGCTTCTCCTACTATTTGGTTCTTAACACCTTTTGTCTCTTCTGTTATTTGCTTTGTAGTATTTACGGTTCCTCCTACTATTTGGTTCTTAACACCTTTTGCTTCTTCTTTTATTTGGTCCTTAATAATTGCTGCATCTTCTACTATTTTTTTCTTAACACCTGTTGCTTCTTCTGTTATTTGGTTCTTAATAGTTGCTGCGTCTTCTACTATTTGGTTCTTAATATTCAACGCATCTTCTACTATTTGGTTTTTAATACCTCTCGCTTCTTCTGCTATTTGGTCTTTCTTAGACGTTACTTTTTCCATTAACTGTTCCTTCTTGTCTGTTATTTCTTCAACTAATTCGTCTTTCGTGTTTGTTGCTTCTTTTAACAACTGATCCTTTTCATCTGTTACCTCTTTTAGCAACTGGTCCTTTTTATCTGTTACCTCTTTCAGCAACTGGTCCTTTTTATCTGTTACCTCTTTTATCAAGTGATTATTTTTATTCATTACTTCGTTTATCGCTTGATCCTTCTTATTGGTTACTTTTCCTATAAATTGGTCTGCTTTATCTGCTATTTTTTCTGCTAATTGTTCCTTCTTATCAGTTGCTTTTCCTAGCAATTGGTCCTTTTTTTCTGACAGTGTCTCTACAAGTTGATCCTTGTTACTTTTTGCATCTGCTACCATGTCTGTTACTATTCCTGTCAACTGATCCTTCTTAATTTTTGCTTCGTCCACCAATTGCTCCTTCTTAATTTTCGCTTCCTCCACCAACTGCTCCTTCTTAATTTCTGCCCCCTTCACCAATTGCTCCTTCTTATCTTCTATTTTCTCAACCATTTCCTTCTTAATTTTTGCTTCCTCCTTTTTATATGATACTTTTTCTAGAAACTGCTCTTTCTTTATTTTTCCCTCTTCTTTTAGTTGCTTCTTGTTAATTTTTCCCTCTTCTTTTAGTTGTTCCTTGTTAATTTTTCCCTCTTCTTTCAATTGTTCTTTTTTGACGGTCGCCTTTTCTACCAATTGCTCCTTCTTCTCCGCTATTATTTTATTCCCACCGTTTTTAATTTCCCTCAGTTCCTTTATCACTTCATTTTCGATTGTTTCTTTCGAAAATAATTTCCCAGACGAGTCTAATTGTTTTTGCTCTACAATCTCCTTCCTTGTATTTTCATCTTTTTTCAACTTTGGCGACGTTCCGTCTTTAAATTTTGATTCTGTAGAACTTTTTTCAATGGTAGAAAAATCTCTTTTATCTGTAGGGGAAATTCTTTTTATTCTATCATCAGTTGAACGTATATTGTCTTGAGTAGCAAATTTACTTTCCTCTTTTATTTTTGTGGGATTTTCTGCTTTTTGATGCTTGTCAGAAATCAGTTTCGTCGGAGGACTCTCCATGCGGGCGCTAACGATCGTATAGGCAGTTTGTGTTGTATCTGATTCGTGAATTTTAGGTGCTTGCGTAACTTTTAAACTTGTGATTAATTGCTTTTCGCCAGAGGAATCGTCGCTTTTTTTCAGTTCCCTAACTTTTCGTTTAGTTGCTTCCTTAGTTCGGGAAATTATATTTTTCATTGCTCCTTTTGAAACTTGTAGTCTCGATTGCCTTTTTATTTTAAACGGTCGTTTAGTCGGTTTCTCGTCAGTTTTTTTGAAAATTGCTTCCTTCTTATCCGATTCGGAAAATTCGGAATTTGACGCAGTTTGTTTCTCTTTTCGTTCAATTGGTCTCTTTCTCCTCTCAGATTCCTTTGGCAACGAGTTTGTTTTATGCTTTGCAAAATATTTGGAATCCCTTGTCGATTGTTTGGAATCTTTTCTTGAAGCTGATTCTTTTTTTAATTTTTCTTTTTTTCGATCTTTTTTCTCCTCAGAGTCGTCCTCCGTTTGATGATTGATTTTTTCGTACTGTTTCTGACCGAAGGTGCGTATTCTTTTTTGTAAACTTGTAATTTCTTTTTCTAGTATGCGAAAACTGGGTTCTTTTTTCCTCTCAATTAGGGTTTTTTTTATTTTGTTTTTGATTTGTTCTTTTTCTGTTTCGGGAGTAGTGGAATCTTCAGTTTTACTAACAGAACTGTCTTTTAGGGTTCGCCGATGGATTTGGAAGGAAGATTCTTCTTCGTCTTCGTCTATTGGGGATGTGCTATTGACAACATCGTCGAGCGAATCGGAAATCTCCTGGAGTACCTCGGGTGAAACTGGTGTTCGTTTAGTGGTTTTTGAACTTTTGGGGATTTCTTCTGGTATCGACTTGATCCATATAGTTTTCATTAGTTTAGGTTGGACCTTTTTCTTGACCTTCGTTTTCTTTCGTAATTGATTTTCATCATCGGATTCGTCGTTGTCACTTCGGCTGCGTAGTTGACGGTCTGTTTGAGTGGAGGTCGTTCTGTCCGTCTGGGTTGCCATGGCCACTTGACCTGGAAGACTTTGGGTTTCTAGATAACTGCCTGTATCTAAATTACCTATGGCACCGCGATTTGCTTCCTTCTCTAGAAGAAGGCGAGTTAGGAGGGCATTTTGTCTGAATAGTTCCACTTCGTTTATGGTGTAAGTCTGAACATTTGTCTGGTCCGGATTTCTGGTGTCGTCGGTTGAATTTTCAAGGCTTTTTGACGCTGGATTGCTGGCCAACGCTTCGCCACCTCCATTTCTGGGTCCTTGCGGTTCCCTTCCACCTTGTAGATTGAGACTAACGTCAACTTGACGTGTCTCTACATAATCTCCTTGATCGACAAGAATTCTCTGACCAGATGGCGCGATTCTTTCAAACTGGTAATTTTGAAGAGTGTCAGTCTCTAGTCTTTGGGGAATTAGCAAAATTTCCTGACGTCTTGGCGATACTTCCTTCGGATGCTGATGGGATTCCATACTGAGACCCTCGATATCAAGTCTACTTCCCAGAAGGTCTTGTCTGATTTCCTGATCCTCGATGAATCTTTGCAGGAGGATTTCTTTTCCGTCTCGGTAGAGATGAGATTGTTGATCAATCACCAGAGTCATTGGTCGATGGATTTGGCCATGTTCTTGAAGTTCCCTGAGACGCTCCTCTTCTTGGCCTCTGGTGACTAGTCGGAGGACTTCGGCGTTGCCTTCTCGAAAGAAGTGCTGCTCGCGAACGTTCGCTTTCTGATTGGCAATCTGCTGAGCCAAATGTCTCTGGCGCGATATATCCGATCCCCTGGCGATCTCGTGTCTTCGAATTGAATCCATATCTGCCTCGTAATTTCTCGTTTGGCCCTCAACGTCCTCGATGTAAATTCTGTCATCATCTGATTTACGCGCGAAATCGCGAAACTTGTGGATCGGAGCTGGACTATCGGGTTGTAATCTTAAAGACAAGGCGTTCCTTTTTGCCTCAATGTCCACTGAAGTTTCATGAGCCACGTCGCCAGGAAGGGATGCCAAACCATACTGTTTCGTATTCCTTCGATTGAATTGCCAATTTTGCTTTATGGGATCTGCACTCCATGCTTGCTTTTTCGTACCATCTGACACGATAGCTGATAAAATAATCGTCTATTTAGAAAATCATTAAATTCCTATAAAATATGAGTCTAAAAAATAGTTGCTATGAACATTATTTCGAAATTTACCATCAAGATTTGTCCGCTTTCGACGAAGATGCTTTTTTGGTCTCCCATCGTCCCGATAAATGAGCGTTTCAGTCGAATGTATTCTTCTCTTTCTGGGTTCCATGTAAAAGGGACATCCAGGGCATATGCAACAGATTATCAAGCATATAATAGCGAGCAGGATAAGAAGTCCCAAGAGAATCAATAGCCATGTCAAAATTTTATTCTCCGCCTTGTATGTTATCTGAAATTAAACTTTAACTATTTATTTCTCAAAAGTGAGAGTTATGAATAGTGGAAAAATCAGATCTTATTCAGATCGAATAAGAGAAACTTTTATTTTTAGTGACAAATAAATTGTTTTAGTCTTGATTTTATACTTTTGATTGATTGATTGATTTTATAAATTTACTCACTACTTCTTTGTCGTGAATTGTAACTGAACTGTTGGTGATAATTTTTGTGTCTCCAGTGACTCCTGTATTGGACGTAGGCATTATTACACCCACTCCTTTTGCTTCTAGTATGTGACGAATTTTTTCAATGTCCACTAATGTGCCAGTTCCTTTTTGCTCGACTTGTGCCTCAATTATACTTCTGAAATAGTATTTTATTTATATTTACTTTTCTATATTTTTTAATAGTAAAGGACTTTTTAGTGGTCGCCATTTAAAATTTTTTAAATTTTGACTTCAGATTCAGCGACCCTAAAAACACACGGAGAAACTTTGGAAAATTTTACATTGTAATGATTCTTTTTACAAAAAAAACCAATAGGAAGAGAGGATATAGTGATAAAAATGACAATAAAACACTATAATAATTTTATTTTCACACAGGATGGATTTTTATCTCAATTTTTGTAAATTTCATGATTCTTTTTTGTTATTGATACCTATATATTTATAAAGTTCGTTTTCAACGATTCATTAACTATAGTTTCTCATTTTTATATATTAAAATTTGCTATTGTTTAGAAATATAAATCCATAATTATTATATTACGTTTTTCGACATTAAGGGTACACACTAGGGTGTCCCAAAAAAATAAAAAGTTTTTTTTTATTGGGTCTCATCCCCTAAAAATCTTTCAATTTGTGTAAAAATAAGAACACAATATTTGGAAATAAAAAATTTTAATATTAACCCGTGGTTCAGAGCCTTTGGACCATAAAAGCGTTAAAAATTTAGTGTTTTTTCATTTTTAACATAAATATAAATGTAAAATTATAATGATTAGGGTGTCATTGTAAAGATAATTAAATTACCTTTCGATCCATATGTCATAGTATAAGATTCAATGAAAATTAAGAGTGTTACAGTTGATTAAAGATCAAATTTCATGAAAATTTTGATGATTTTTAGACACTTAAGTAACTAGTACTTTCTTCACATTAAACAGTAAAAAATATTTAGATTTTAATTTTTTTATTGAGAGTCTGTAACATTACAAAAATCCGTAATTTAATCGTCGATTAAATTCGTCTCAAAATCCGTTACCCGATTTTGAGACGAATTCGATCGACTTTTATGAAGTTCTCCGCCATTTTGAAATTTGAAAAACTGACATTGGACTCTAAATCAGCGACTTCAGTATTTTTTTATCACTGATTTTAGTAAGTTTAGTGGTTATATCTAAATTTATTGTTTCAATTTTTGCTCCAAATGTTGAAGGAATGATAAGAATAAAAAAAATAGTTTCCTTCACTAAATCTAGTGTATAATTGTCATTTTCAATCAAATCGAGGTCCACAAGGGCTAAAAATTTTCGTAATGTTACAGACTCTCAATAAAAAAATTAAAACCTAAATATTTTTTACTGTTTAATGTAAAAAAAATACAAGTTACTTGAGTGTCTAAAAAATAAAAATCATCAAAATTTTCATGAAATTTAATCTTTAATCGACTGTAACACTCTTAATTTTCATTGAATCTTATACTATGACATATGGATCAAAAGGTAATTTAATTATCTTTACAATGACACCCTATTCATTATATTTTGACATTTATATTTATGTTAAAAATGAAAAAACACTACATTTTTAGCGTTTCTATGGTTCAAAGGCTCTGAACCACGGGTTAATATTAAAATTTTTTATTTCCAAATATTGTGTTCTTATTTTTACACAATTTGAAAGAATTTTAGGGGATGAGACCCAATAAAAAAAAAACTTTTTATTTTTTTGGGACACCCTAGTACACACTCAGTATATAATATTTGAATAATAGTAATTTTTACAAAGATGCTGATATATTCTCGTTCGCTATTCGTTTTTTGTAAAATTCAGTATTTTATTATCAAACTAGCTAACTTCTTACTTATTTTTTTTAAATGAAATTAGCAATTTTAAAAATAATACCTAGAATTTAAAAATTTTTTCTCATAAAAACAAAATATAAATTGGAATATAGTCTTAATACTATTATGAATATTATTCTGCGACAGGGAATTCAGGAAAAAGTCAGAGATTTTTATTAAAAAGTTTTGAAAAAATTAATTTTTTAGAATTCATGAGAAACTTCTGAATTTTGGTGTCTTTTCTGCTTGCTTCATAAGCTACAAAATTGCAACTAATTCTTATTTAAAACCTTCAAATTTTTCTATTTTCTAATTTCTTTTCAAATATACTACCGTCCACGAGTATCAGGACGATTACATTAGACTCTATGAAAAAACATGTCATCACTTTTTCAATCATATCTCGGAAATAAAAGGAGATACAAAAAAACTTTAATACGGTTAGAAAGCTGATTAAATTTTGCGTAAAATAAGCCGTCTTTGAAGTCATTTCGTTAACTATTTGTTGAGTCGTAGAGTGAGAAAGAAATAAAAAAAATGATAAAATTTTCTCATTTTTGTCTCTTGACTTCAACTTTTTCAAAAATCTAGAAAAATTTAGATAAAATTTTTCTAAAAACACAGAAATCTTCGTTAGAATTTCAGCTTTAAAATATGCCTTCGAAAATTAAAAAAGGTTAATCCGTCTTCGATATATCATTAAAAATGTGAAGCCGTGTTTCGACCGATTGGTGCATTTAAATTCAACTGTGACGACTCGATTCTGGCTTCGCGTGGCAGCGAATGAGAGAGAAAACAGAGACGAATTCATGCGGGGGAACGATGAACTTTCGAGTTTCTTTATATTACTCGTGAAACATCATTATTTATTATTCTTCAGCAAAAATTCATCCCTGTTTTCTCTCATTCGCTGCCGCGCGAAGCCAGAATCGAGTCGTCACAGTTGAATTTCAATCCACCAATCGGTCGAAATACGGCTTCACATTTTTAATGATATATCGAAGACGGATTAACCTTTTTTAATTTTCGAAGGCATATTTTAAAGCTGAAATTCTAACAAAGATTTCTGTGTTTTTAGAAAAATTTTATTTAAATTTTTCTTGATTTTTGAAAAAGTTGAAGTCAAGAGACAAAAATGAGAAAATTTTATCATTTTTTTTATTTCTTTCTCACTCTACGACTCAACAAATAGTTAACGAAATGACTTCAAAGATGGCTTATTTTAAGCAAAATTTAATCAGCTTTCTAACCGTATTTATTTTTTTTTATTTCCTTTTATTTCCGAGATATGATTGAAAAAGTGATGGCATGTTTTTTCATAGAGTCGAATGTAATCGTCCTGCCCGTGTAGAAATTTGTCGTGGCCTTCCTAGAAATAGACTACAGCTAGATAGCATTTGTCGTGGAAAATTATTCTGAAAAAACTGTCCTGGCCCCGAAATGTTAATGTACAGTTTTCCCCTTAATTTTCTTCGCTATGAAGACAGTCTAGAATCTGGCTAAAATTTGTCTAGGATACTGAATTGAAAATTCAGTACAAGTTCGTATAGCAGGTTGTCCAAGAATTAGCTAGCCACTGTCTAGGACGCTGACTTAAGAATTTAGTACAAGATCGTGGAGAAGGTGGCTCTGAGTGAGAGTCTACTAAGCTAGATGACGAAATCAGTTTTTGACGTAGTGCTTGATGAAAAGAAACCAAGAGTCTACAATTGTAACTTATCTTGTTGTGAAGATAAAATCAAATTTATAAATCTAGTGAAAAGTTTTCAGTTTCCCATTTCTGAACAGGGACAGTGTACAAGTTTAAATATATTACAGAGAAAAGAAGATTTATTAGAAAAAGGACATGTGATGTCATTATTCATAGTCTCAGATTGTTTTTCATATCATAATGTTCATAATAAGTAATAAAACTTTGGTAATTTTAAGTGAATTTTTTGTGATTGCAACAATATAATATACAATTCATTTTATTATCGGTATACAAGTACGAATCTTTATAGTGAATGTGTTTGCGTTTTAAAGAAAAAATCCAATGTAGCAAAATATGAACTAGCTAGGAATGATTTATTTTACTAGACAAGGACTAGACAAAATAACTGTACAAAATCTTAACGTTGCTAGCGTCACATTCCTCGTTCAATCATGTCCATTTTTCCCATCTAGTTGCTAGATTGAATCTAGCGCGACTGGACAGTTTCTCATACTCTTCCACGGTAAATTTCTACACGGGAACTTAATTGTTGAAGAACTATCATAAAATTGTAACTTAGAAATTATCTAATTAATAACTTAACTTAAATATTTCATAATTAATTGAATTTTAAAAAAGTTGCGTTTACAATATCCATATAAATAAATCAACTTCAGAAAGTTTTGAGGGGGAGTGACACCTTTGAGGTGCCTATTTCTTAATGATATTTTTTTAACAATTAACAATTAACAATTTTCTATTTTTTGTAAATAAAAAGGAGAAAAATTTGCATAATTTAGATTAGTCAAACGAAATTTGTTATAGAAAAAAGCATATAATAAACAAAATAGGTAGGGTAGGGTGGGGCATTACTATTCGCGGGGCGTAGGTAACTATTCTTTGTCCTGGAGAGAAAACTATTTATCCGATTAAAGTTTTTTTTACACTGTATACTTGTCATGTGAAATGAACATTGTAATCCACATTTGAGCTTCTGGAGCCATCTATCATGGGAGTTAGGTACTCAAATTGTGATTTTGATATACTCGCTTACTTGTTTTGACTCATTTAGTCTGCTATTGTAAATAGTGATAAACAGTCGGAAAAATTATTTCTAAAGTCAAATTTAGTGCTGAACACGATACACGAATACACTGAAAAACTTTTTGTTTTAAAAATTAATAGAATTCATATCAAACTTTAATATGATGCATTTGAAACAGGGGAAAACGATGTTTTTATGTTATTTAATCGTACGAACGTATCAGCTTTTAACAAAGTAATACAAAAAATTAGTATGGTCCGTGCCAATTTAGGTTAGAATGGTAAGAAATTGGAAGAGAAAAACCAGAAAAAATCCTCCAATTAACAAATTAATTTTTATATTATTTTTAGTATTATATCATTAATAGCTGCAATAATAGTAACGCCCCTTGTTTTTTTCGACATCAAAAAAATTCGTAAAATCGCTATAGTTCGGAACAGAATCGAGTTACAGCAAAATAATAATGGCAAAATTGTAGCTAAGAAGTCGAGTTTTCAAACGGTCCTACTCATTTTTTTATTTTTTTTTTAAATACAATTTTTAGACTCAAAAATCCA